TTTTTTTTTTTTCTTTTTCCAAAATCTTTATAAATTACTTTCCAATGAAGTTACAGTAAGCTGAAAATTGATCTATACAAACGTATGATGCCAACTGAAATAAAACGAATTGGAAGAATAAAAAATAGTAATAATAATAATAAACAAATATTGACTATAAAACATGTACAGAATCAATTAAACTGAACTATAAATTAAGTGTTACATCCAACAGACTTTAAGCAGACGATGGGGAAAACTACGTGAAGGAAACCGAAACTGTAAAAAGAAGAGAGGAAGAAAAGGAAACAGATACTGAATAATGACGACAGTGTAAACCATTAAACTAACAATGAATATGACAAATAACAAATCTAACAGTTCTGCCTATCACCATTAAAGAACACATATTACTTCACGCAGATATAGATTAAAAATAAATTTAAAAATAAAAAAAAAAATCACCGGATTTTCTTTTTTGTATTTAGTTGTAAAAAATACAAAAAAGAAAAAGAGAAAAAATGATACATTTATGTATATAAAATAAATATGAGAAAAAGACGAAGAAAAAGACTTGTAGTAAAATTTCCCTTCTGTTTTTGCTCATACAACATTTTCTGAATAGCATCTTCAGCAGTACTGCAAAAATTTCAAAAAACATCCTCAAAACAACAACGTATTCTATGACTATTTTCTCAGCTATTTTGTCTGTGGTAGCGGAGCGTCAGTTTTACCAATATTAAGCCAGTTATAACTTTTTTCTTTTAAAATCTGTTTTCTTCTGGTTGCCAAAAGAGGGCCAAAATAACCAAGAAATTTTTCCAAAGATTTTTTTTGAACTTCTCTTGTAATCTTACTCAACAAATAGAAGTCAATAAATGAAGCAACTCAGCCAGTGCAGGTAAGAAAAAATTCCATAATCTTTTCCTTTCCTCTTTAAATACTTAGTCAAAGAAGGAACTACTCTAGAACGAGCACCACTGATGCTAAATTACTATCAAGGCTTTAAAAAAAAATAACTGCTTGTTTAGAGCTTTCAAAATCTTCAGAGCACTGCAGAAGCTATTACAAAATGTGGAATTCTTTGAAATAAAATTCTATCATCAGTCTTCTTCTTTATCTTTAAATATATAAAGCAAAGCTTTTTGGCAAGTGGGTTTAACGTCTTTTGGTGAATGACCTTTATGCCTACCACAATGAAAAACCAGCAAACAGCAGAAGAAATAATTCCAGTTAGTTTACTTATTCATTTGTTTTATTGTGAAATGTGAGCTTATTGCGAAACGGGTGTTGTACTGGTGACACAGTGTTCGTCCCTAAAAGCGGAGCCATCTTCATCTTCCATCTTCATTGTCTGTAAGTTCATTGCCATCGGTCGACAGGTCTTCCAGTGTGTCCTTAATCCAGAGGAAGAGGTGTACTTTTTTCCGCAACAAGAGCAGTTATAGGGCCGCTCATTGGTGTGAAGTCGTTTATGTAACTTTAGGTGAACGAACTGTGTAAATTTGGCACTGCACAATTCACATGGATACGGCTTTTGACCGTTATGAAGGCGTAGATGAGTTTTTAAATTAGATGTGCTACTAAAGCGTTTTTTACACACTTCACACTGGTGCGGTTTTTCACCTAAAAATAACACCCATTAATGCAAGATTTTTTTTTCAGTGAAAGAAATTTTAACATCAGGGATGTTAAAATAGAATAAAAATTAGGGGAAAGAAATCAAAGGGAAACCAAGAAAAAAAAAGAAGATACCTGTGTGAACCAAGTGATGCTTTTGAAGATGTGCTAATTGGGTGAACTCTTTCAAACACACTGTGCATTTGAAGGGACGTTCTCCTGTATGCGTCCTAAGATGAACCTTCAAATTTGAGAGTTGGCCAAATGTCTTATTGCACTCTTTGCATTCATAGCGAGTCTTCCCATTTATTTGTGACTGAAGATACTGTAAACAGTTTAAGAATTTTTTTAGGTCTTTTTTTGGCTCAATTCTTTATTGCTTTCTGCAAAAATGGAAGAAAAGGACATTTTTATCAATCTAGTTTGTGTTCCTTACACCAAATAAAACACAAACCTTTTGGTTCTGCAGCGACTGACTCCTAGAAATGGGATTGCTAGAAGCCGCTTGAAATGCTGTTGGAGACGTTGCCAGCGGAGGAGCGCTAAGGCCCAGCGGAAGAAGAGTTTGGGGTTGAGCAGCGAAAAACGAAGGTTTTGTTGGAGTAGTCGACGAATATATCGTTGTGGCAAAAGCTGTTCCGAAAGGAGGACTAGCGGTCGCTCCAAATGCTGGAGCAGGTGGGCAAGCCGGTGGACGTCCTGGAGAGCACGGTCGTCCAGCAACTTGTGGAGTTGGCGCAACTCCGTGATTTGGTTGAGGTGGTACCCAAATGCCGCCTGGTGTTACTCCTAACGCGGAGCTTCTTCTCCAGAACTCATGCAGTAAGGAATAAGAATGAATCGGGCTCGGCTGAATGGGTGACAAAGGGGGCCCAACCTGAGCTACTGTAGGTTGTGGTAATTTTGTTGGGACAGGGCGATGAACTGGGTTTTGAATTACATTTGGTCTTGATATCATTTCATCTGTCACTGGCATTGGTGTCGGGGAAGAACTGTAAAAATAAGGCTATTCAAAGGTTATTAAAATGTGCTCACTGCCTGGTAGATTGAAGGTGTCAATAACTTACGTCGAAGAAGCAGAATTTACGCTGGAGGCGCAGTCGTCGCTGAGTAAAGGTGTGACATCACTTGCTGATGACAAAGTCGTAGGAGATCGTGATTCAATATTTGGTTTTGATGAGTTTTCCATATTCACCTGTAAAAACTGAATACTGCTCTGGTCTTCAGTGTGCTTTGGTACTTATTCACTTTCAGCGCTCGTAGTTTCTAATCACATAACCAGTTTCTAACCTCAAAATTCTTTTTCATGGAGTAATCCAGTGCTTTCTGGGGAGCCGGCGTAGGTTCTGACTCGTCACCATCAAGGCGAGCTATGCTTAGCGGAGCAGCCGGTTCGTTGCTCTTAGATGCTACAAGGAGGGCCATTAATTCTAAATGTAAATCTTAGAAGAAAAATGACCAATTATACTTACTTTTCTGAGGTAATGACGAAGACCAGTACTCACAAGACGGAGAACAGTTGATTCTCTGAGCGTAGTCGCGACTGTACCAAAATAAAAGCTCTGTATTTGGCTTGATTGGTTTTATAGAATAAAAATAAATTTCGTTATCCACCTGCAATTTATATTACATGCGTATATATATAGGTATAATCTACCTGGAATTAACGATTTTAAATTCTAAATACTGCAATAAAAAAAGTTTGATGACGATCACAATGAGTAAAGCAAACCTGAAAACAAAGGGGAAAAGAAAGTGGAATTGAACCTACTCAAATATTGAAAATTTAGGTAAATTATGTATGAATTGTAAGTATCCGAAAAATGCCTCAAAGTATTTATAAATACGAAACTATCCAAACATAGTTTAAGCAACGTAATTTCAAAACTCTCTTCACTTTTTGATCAGTAAGAAAAGCGCAACAAACCTGACAAGCCACAAGATTCTGAGTTTCCTTAGATTTTGCGGGCTTTACAAATTTCATCCAGTTACTCTTTTTGTCATTTTTTGCATCTATCATTTTGACGAGAATACTTCCACTACTACTGAACACCTTCCAAATATTATCCGAAATTAGCTGAGTAGAGGTAATTCCACTATTTATGTGAGCGTTACTAGCAGCTTCTCCAGCACCACTTGCTTCTGCTGGTGATACTGTCGCTTCAGCAATATCTGGCTTTCTATATTCACCAACTAATGGTCCAAAACGGACTCCACGAGGTATATAATCCATACTCCATACTCCTATAGCCTAAAGCAGAAAGTTTGCAATGACTTCTTGTTTTATTACAGTTAAAGTTCTTGCAGGAAAAATTTGTAATTTTTTAAAAGCTTTAAATAGTATATTTGTGACCTTTGAAATTTCCTGCGATGATCGCAGCGTCAAATTCAGTGGTAATGAAGTCGCTGCCCGGTTGTCAGGATCCTAAAAAGTGATTGGTTAGCTTGTACTCTCTTTGATTTTCTAGATTTAAACTGAAAAACTCTTTTCATTCCTGACCTGATGCTCCAAAGGTTTATCCGGAACATGAAAAACGCAGAGTTCGGCAAAATTGTGTTCAGACATACTCGTCCAGTCCCATTCGCTCATACCATGCATACCTGAACAACTCATATCAGCTGTTGTTCCAACACTGAATGAGCGATTGGACTGATTTGAACAACCAAGATTCGTGTAATGCGGTGCCGTGTCTAAAAACGGAATTTGCTTACCTTTCGGTCAGTTCAACTCAAAGAAAACTGTATTTTTGTTAGGTAGAACTTAAATAAAATAGGTAAAGAAAAAAATTGCCTACCGTAATGATTACGAGTGTATTCTTCGTGAACTGGCGATGCTGCGGCGCTAGAAGATGACGAAGAATTACCAATCTCACTGACATGAGGAGCACCCAAATGGACTACACACTGACGTTCCGTAGAAACTGTTCGTGGTTGTACACTCTGATGGTCATTCAAGTTACAAACATCTTCCCCCATAATTATCCCACTAATATTTTTCCTGATCAGTAATTATTTCTTTTTTTTTTCAGTTTTTTTTAATTTTCTTGAAATGCTGAAACAAAAATACAATTAATAATGTAGAAAAAATAATTAACTAAGTGAAATAACGTGGTTAAGAATGATGAAGTAAAACGTGAGATACACATTCACGGTGCAGCAACTACGTTTTAGTAAAAATGCCAATTTTAAAAATATTATCGGTCACTGACTCTGATGGCAAAAGATATGGAAAATTGAGTAAGCAACAGTTTTTGGAAGGTTTTTTCATCCTTTTTTTTTCTTTCTTTTTTACTTATACAGAAGGTATTGTTAATTAAGCAAAACCATAAAAAAATCAGAACATTCATCTTTCTTCTTTGTTGCTTTCAGTTTAATTGCATTTTTAAATGTTTAGTCTCTTTATAATAAATAAAAAATAAAAAATTCTAAAGTCATTCGTTACTTCTAAAATGCTGAATTCAGCTGTTAAAAATGCATATATACAAATATTCTTTTTTATTGCTTTCAATTCAGCAGCATTTGATAATAAATAATTTTCAACCTATAATTGTTTAATTTGCATTTGGTTTTTTTCCATCTAACTTTTCCATACCAAATTCTACCTACTAAACTTCAACTGCATTAACACCCAAAGATGCATACGATAAAAAAATGATTAAAGCATATTGTTGACAAATATGATTTTGATAATCATAATGACAATGACTTTTTGATAACTGTTCACTGTATTCATCAACAACAACAAAAGAGAAGAAGAAAAAAAGAAAGAAAGAAACAGGTTCTTTAGCAATAGCATCTGTATTTGCAGTAATCTAAAAATTTCTGTAGATTTAGTCATGATAAAACAAATAACAAGCAAAAAAAAAAAAAACATGCTGAAAACACTTAAAAAAAGCATTTCTTTTTTTTTTTTTTGCTTTTATAAAGCTGCTTTTTTTTACACTTATTACCGAAAAAAAAAAGAAGAAAAAGATCGCAACATCATCTGATATAAGGCTCAATAAATCAACGACAGTAAAATAATGAACAAAAAACAGTGAGAACTTTTTTTCTTTATAAAATACTTTATACAGCAAAAAAATTTCCGTCCTCCTAAACTTTACTTAACTTAGGCTTACAAATACAGTAAACCAAAAAAAAAGTAAATTTTAAGCGCATTTTGTTGTTGAAAAGAATAATTGATAAACTTAGGCAAAAATCTCTTTCACCCATAATTCAGACTGCTGAGCTTTCGCAAAATGTATAAAAGACTCGTTTCACTTTTAATCATTCATCTGTTTGGTACAGAATTAATTATTCCAATAAAACAAAACAAGAAAAAAAAACAGTAAAAACACAAAAACACAATTATAACCATTAAAAAATAATTGATAAAGGTGATTTAATCAGATGAGACAAATACAAAAGTTGCTTATACCGCTTTTTTTTTAAAATAATCAATGACAAAG